CGAAGATATACCCACGGCGGAGGAGGTGCACGCCACCATGAAGCAGTTTCACCTGCGCAAGTGTCAGCCAGCACAGGATGAGGCCGCTCGTCGCGCCAAAAGTGCGCGCGTTCGCCGCCGAAACAAGTGAGTTCCTATAACTGCATCCATTTTATTTTAAAATCCCGCGTTCCCTTGGGCGCCAGAGTTTCGCCGGAGGAAAGCGATGATCCAGACGAGCGCAGCCAGCGTGGACGTTCCGCTTACACGCGGAAGGCGCAATCGCCGCCCGATCCCCTGGAACCGTGGAGCACCCGCGAGCTGCAGGACATTAACAAGATTCTGGCCAGAAAGTGAATACAGGGGGCGCACGAGTTTCTGGCACATAGTCCTTGGTGGCTTATAATTGTTTATCAGAGCTTAGCTTAGTTAGAAGTACAAATACATAATAAAGCGCGGATGCCACGCGAAACGCTGGGTTATGCTTTGGACCGGTGGCATCCCCGTCACATACACTAGATTTCCCATTATTCTCTCTAAGTGCTAGTTTTAAAAGTGGTGGAGGTGGATGTGGCGGTGTTTTGGAGGAGGTGAAACCTGCTGCCAGGGGGCGGGAGGGTTTGCAATAAATTACAATTGAGAAATCGTTTCTACACAAATGCCTACGACTTAGACACTAGCTATATATAATCTCCTCCGATCTCCGATATACAATCGTATACACCTACGTAAACTATAATATTATACATTGTGCTGGATGACAGGAGATGGCGCAATCAATGCCCGCTTGCCAATGCCTGATTCCAATGCCTCCCGATGCTTCGATATGATTGCCAACTTTCCGTCTGTCCGACTGTTAGTTCGGATATCATACTTCCAGCTTTTACCGAAATCCACCGGTTAATGTGCGATCCGTGGACATGGTGGAGATCGTTTGTGCCTGCTGCTGCTGCTGTTGCTGCGCCGATTGCTGCTGCGCCTGCGTCGCCGCCTGGGCACCAGTCATGGTCGAATTGATAAAGATCGGCGTGCCACTGGTCACCGCACTGGCGTTGCTCTGGGTGAGGTTGGCGTGCTGTTGCTGCTGCTGATGCGCGACCGTAGGTGCAGCGCCCAGTTGGAGCAGTTGCTGGGCCGTCAGCAGTTGGGTTGGGATGATGACCTGTTGTTGCTGTTGCTGCTGCTGTTGCTGCTGCTGCTGTTGCTGCTGCTGTTGCATTTGTAGGCGCTGCAGGAGATGCAAATGATTGGCATTGATGGCGATCTGGAATGGAAACGGCAATTGTCAGTCTGGGATTCAATGCAGTGAGCTCAAGTGATACCTACCGGCACGTTAGTCAGCTCCCCCGTGGGCGTTACCACTTGCTGCAGCAGCTGAATTTGCTGCTGTTGTTGCTGGTGCTGCTGTTGCTGCTGGGCGAGATTCTGGAGCAGGGCCGTCTGCTGCTGGGCAGCCGTTTGCGGCGCTGGCGTGGCGGTCAGCTGACCGTTGGGACCGGCGGTCAGTATCAACTGCTGGGTGGGTTGTTGGGCCGACAAAATGTTGATTGGTAGATGGTTCTGCGCGGCTTGCGGCTGCTGTTGGACCTGCTGCACAAGCTGCGCCGCCTGCTGGCCCGGCAGTGCGATGAAGTACTGCAACTGTTGGCCACCAGCGCCCTGCTGAATAATCTGAACTTGCTGTGGATGCGCCTGGTGATGTTGTTGCTGCTGTTGTTGTTGCTGCTGGGCGGCATGCTGTTGCTGCTGCTGTTGTTGCTGCTGTAGTTGCGCTGAAAAGATGTCCGAGTTGACAGTGCTGAAGCCGAGCACCTCGGCGGCGGTGGCTGCGCCCGTGGTGTCCAGCTTGAGGCCGCCAGCGGTGGCCGCAGGTACAGAGGAACCACTGGCTACAAAGTTGCCCGTGGCGGTAGCATTGCCCGCCACGGAGGCGGCCGCATTGGAGGTGGCTGTGTTGGAGGTGGAGGCTGCACTGCTGGCTGTGCCCGCCATTCCGCTCGAACTGGAAGTACTGCCATCCTTGCTCTTCTGCGCCGACGACGGCTTGATCTCCTCGCGCGGCACAATGTCGATGAGAAAGTCGAATTGGTCGTAATTGGCTATCGCCTGGGCAATGTCCGAACGCTGGAGCGTGCGCCGCCGGCTCTCCTCGGTGTGCACCCAGGCGTGCATGGTCAGCTCCTGAATGAAGTACTCGCAGGCCTTGGCGAACAACAGCGGCGCCTCCCCAGCAATCATCTTGGCGTTCTCATCCAGTTTCATGATCTTCTTGATGCGCGCCAATGGCAGCACCTGGTGCTTGGCATCAACCTGGCCGATGCTGTGGACCTCGCTCACGATATTCGGCCAGAAGTTATCGATGGTGGGTGGCGGTTTGCGTGCCACCTGAGCCCGTGTGGCCTTCGTTGCCTTCTCTTTGGCGCCGCTCGCAACGGTGGTGGCCACAGTCACACTCATACTGGGATTAACCAGAGTGCAGGCGTTGGACACCAAGCTGGCCATGGGAACCGTCTGCTGTTGTTGCTGATGTCCCTGCTGCTGCTGATGTTGCTGCTGCTGGGCGGAGGAGACGGTGGAGGAGGTGGTGACTACCATTGCGTTGGGTGTTCTCCGCTGCATCGCCGCTGGATTTTGCGATTTGGCATTCGCCTGGCCCAGTTCCATCTTAATGGGTGTCACTGTGATGGTGTTGTCGAACATGGAGGTCGCATTGCTGGGGGGTATTCATATTAATTTGGCAAAACACGTACGGATCACAGAATGAAAACAAAAAGGAGCGGCGCACATATTAAAAATCTCGGCTGTACCGCCTGTTTTTTTGGGGGAGGGGCGCTCGATTTTGCTGGCGGAGGCGGAACTTACCTGTTTGGCGCCTTGTTCGTGCCGCCATTGTTGGTGGCGTACATGGCCCGGTTGGCTGGAGACCTTAGCTCGGCGTTGGCGGCAACCGTGGGACTCTGGCGACCGGCTCGAGTCCACAATATTCGCTTCAATTAGCTTCTAATTCGCAAAGCAAATGCGTAATGTAATGCACACACACACATATACATGCATACAAGCGAGCGCCAGTGTGGCCAGGCGGCGGCGAGGGCGAAAACTGGCCAACCCGATAACGATAGCTTTTATTCGGGCTAGGTAGGCTACTTCCAAGCCAGATCTGGCTGGCACAATGGATAATCACATTCTGGCCACTTTCAAGCTAGATCGGGCAGCACTCACCGCTGATAAGAAACGAATCGAAATCAAAACTTGCACCTACAATCCCAATCCTCCAGAGAAACGAAGATGAAGGACCTCTTCTGGCACCTGGTGGGCATAGCCACCGGCCTGAAGATCCTCCTGATTCCAGCCTAGTGAGTGCAAGGGTGTTTTCAGTTATCAAACCCATTACAAATTCATCCTTAGCCATTCCACGGATTTCGAAGTCCATCGCAACTGGCTGGCCATCACATACAGTTTGCCCCTGGATCAGTGGTATGTGGATGCCACCAGCGAGTGGACACTGGACTACCCGCCGTTCTTCGCCTACTTCGAGTGGCTGCTTTCGCAGGTGGCCAAGTACGTGGATCCACGAATGCTGGTGGTGGATAACCTGAACTACGAGTCCAAGGGCACGGTTTACTTTCAGAGGCTCTCGGTGATTGTTACGGATCTGGTGTATGTGCTCGGCGTGCGAAGCTGCCTGGGATCACTGGGATTGGCGAGGGATACGCAGCAGTTCTTTGCCGGCTCCATGTTGCTGCTTCTCAACGTGGGACTTCTATTCGTGGACCACATTCACTTCCAGTACAATGGCTTGCTGTTCGGCATACTGCTCCTGAGCATCGGATCCCTCATCCGTCAGAGGTTCCTCTGGAGCGCCTTTGCCTTCGCCGTGCTGCTCAACTTTAAGCACATCTTTCTGTACATGGCTCCCGCTTTTGGGGTCTACCTGCTGCGCTTCTATTGCCTGGAGCAGGCGAGTGTGGTGTCTACGGCGGGCGCCATTGTCAAGCTGCTAGTCGTTGGACTCACTCCATTCGCCGTGTCCTTCGGACCCTTCTGGCAGCAATTGCCTCAGGTCTTCTCCCGCCTGTTTCCATTTAAGCGTGGCCTAACGCACGCCTACTGGGCACCCAATTTCTGGGCTCTGTACAACGCCGCCGACAAGGTGGCCGCCGGAGTTTTAAAGGTGCAGGATGGCGGTGCCTCGACCACGTCCGGATTGGTCCAGGAGGTCAGGCACTCGGTGCTGCCAGCCATCACACCGCCCATGACTTTTGCCCTGACCGCTCTCTTCATGCTGCCCATTCTGGTGAAGCTCTTCCGCAGTACTAAGAAGTGAGGCCATCTTCGCTTGGATTCAAGGATATCGCTGCTAACTAATGCGCCATCTCTTTGCAGTCAAAGTCCGCTGGTCTTCCTGCGAGCCGTGGTTTTGTGCGGCTGCTCCTCGTTCGTCTTCGGCTGGCATGTCCACGAGAAGGCCATCTTGATGGTGCTCCTTCCACTCTGGTAAGTTCCCTTTCCCTCTATTAATCAGAAACAAGGAATCCCACTAACAGGCCAACCTTTTTGCAGTCTGCTCACCCTGGTAAACCGGGAGGATGCCAGATACGCCTACATCCTCGGCATTGCCGGCTATTTCTCCCTGTTTCCGCTGCTCTTCGATGCTGATCTATACATTCCGCGGTATTCCCTGTACATGTCCTACGTGGCCATGATGTATGGCCAGTTGTATCGCATCTTCCCCGGCTTCCGAGGCTTCCACCTGCTGGAGTGGCTGTACATGCTGGGCTTTCTGGCCATTCCGTTGTACGAACACCTGCTCTCGTTCCTGTTGCACCTAGACAAGCGTCTGCCCTTCCTGCCCCTGCTGTTGACCTCCGTGTACTCGGCGCTGGGAGTGCTCTATTTCTTTGGGGCCTACTATCTATACGCCCTGGGCATCAGCTGCGGCAAAGTGGCCATCGCATCGTCATCCTCGTCGTCATCGTCCGCTGTTAAGAGAAAACGAAAAACCAAATAAACGGAGCACTAGAATGGGCTTCAGCAGAAATCCGCAATTGGTCACGTCTTGCATTCAGAGTGGTGGTGGTGCTGCCGAGCAGTCTTCAAGGCGCCTGGCGCAACAGCCAGTTCGGCGCCGCTGGCCGGGATTCTCTGGACCAAACAACACAATGGACAACGAACAATGGCTGTTAAGCGGAATTCGATGGGCAGGTAGCGATCACCGGCGTCTAAGGTGCCACGTACCTGTTGGCACGACCAGATTATGGCCTTTTGGGCCATAAAACAGGTACCAGGCGGCCCGGCTGAGTGGGTGATATTCCTGGAAAAACCGTGGAAAACACGCGGGCGCTGAATGAATAAGTGTATATCAATTGCCTGCCTTGGCAGAGAATACTTCAGTTGACGAGCTTCCGTCCAGGCGAACAGATCGACATGCATATGGAACTCTCCTATGGCCATGGCTACGAGCCAATCAGGAGGCAACCACCGCCTCCTCATCCACCCCATCAGCATTGGTCCAGCAAGTAAGCAAAAGATTCGGCATTTTTCCCAATACAGTTAATCAGTTGCCTCAATTTCAGCGGGTTCTCCGATGACTCAGCTTCCTGTTTCCGCCGGGGATCTTACATTGAACTGGCCAACGGGGCCTTGCGTCGCGTGGAGGACATACGCACCGAGGACTTCATCCAGTCGGCTCTGCGTAGTCAACTATTTGAACTGCGAGAGGCCACAGTGGTTAGGATAGATCGGGAAGGATGCCCCGGCCACGTGACCCTCACCTTCAGCTACGACACACAGCACGCCAAGGTGGGTTCGCCAATCTCTACCCTTCTTCAAGCGACATTTGTCTCACCCTTGACTAATTTTTCAGATGAACTTGGAGGTGCAGCCAGGTCATCCGATGTTTGTTTACGGACAGGGCTGGGCCTCATGTGATCCTCAGTTGTCGCTGCAGCTGTACGAGCTCAACTGCCAGCAGCTGCAGGTGGGCGACATCTGTTTGTCGCTGATGCCACGCGAGCAGCCTGTCGCTCCATGTCCTCCTCCGCCGGCGCAGCCACCACCGTGTCCTACACCTTCTCTGCCCACGTCAATGGACATGCCAGCTCCGACGGGCTCTCCGCCTACCGAAAGCTATGGATTGCCGCCGTTCAAGCATCCGTACCAGGTGTACGCCCAAATGGCCAGTTTCGTGGCCGTCTACACCCAACACATGATGGGAAAGCTAAACTATTAGGCAACACATCTAGTGGCTTGGCTGGCGTTTCAGGAATATATTCAACGCTATTCCTTGAATACGTTAGGCCCTTAAAAAATGACCATATATTTCAAAACTTCTCTGTATTTTGCTTAATTTCCCGAAATAAAGTTTAAAGCAACGGTAATTTCCGGTTAAAATTGCGCGCGCAAAGCAGAACAGAGATGGCACTTTGGCCGATACCCACTGCATTCAACAGATCCCATTGACACACTCAGTGTTCGTGTCACGAATCTCCGTAGTGTTGATCCAGGAAACCTGGACAAATTGACGACATGGCATTGATCCTGTCAAGCAGTTTGATGGCAGAACCAATCCAAATCGTAGGGGTTAAGTGGGCAATCACACTGGGCAGGTCAGATAAAGTGTTTCCACTGGAGCATCGGATTCGATGGCCCGTTGAGCGCCAGCGTCAGCTGTTCCTATCGATATCCGATTGGCCCGATTGTAGGAACAAAAAAGAAAAGTAAAAGATTGAAATAATTAGTATAAACTAACCGTAGTATATCTGAGCAAATCAGTTATTAATGACGAACTAGCCGTATTTGATGTCTGCCCTAGCGCCGCCAATTCCCTCTATGAAGAACGCGCTCCACGCAGACAACTGCAATGGGACTGGAACCGAGGAGGAGGCGTCGTCCGCGTTCCACGCGGAGATTGACCGCGTTCTGCTAAACAACAATGGCAATCACGGTGGCAGCAGCAACGAAGGCGGCGGTGGGAGTGGCAGCGGTAGCGGTAGCGCCAGCGGAAGCGGCAGTACCGCCGGGTCGGGAGCCAGTGAGTACATGTGGTCGCCTGGAGGAGGTAAGACGCACGAGGTTGCGCAGGCGTTCGCCAACACACTGCTGCTGCGTAACATGAACCATGATGTGGGCAAAGGGCAGGCAGGCGCCCCTAGCCATCGGAAGGTTTACAAGTGCAAAGGTGAGTTGACAGTTTCGACCTTGACATTCGTTCCAATTTTTGATTCGATCTCAACAGCCGACCCGGTCAACCCATCGGCCAATGGCGAAGATCTGCGTCTGTCCAAGATCATCCGCAGGCTAATCAGCGAGTCCAATCCCGCCGTGGCGCTGGAGCTGTGCGGAAAACTGGATCAAGCCGTTCGCACGCCCATTAACATGGGCTACATGTCGTGCTCCTTCGTGTGGATCCTGGAGAACATGCTCACCCTATACAAGCAATGCCCGCCTCCGGTTCTGGACGAGTGCAGCAAGACCCTCGGCTTAATTGGCTACATCAACCGCAAGTCGTATCCCATTTACGAGGAGTTTATCGTGAAAAACTACAAGAGTAGCAAGCGCATGCAGAAGTACCTGATCGTGGCCCTGCGCACCACAATGAGGTGACGCATTCCCTGCCCTCCATTATTATTGTTCATCTTTTTTATAACCCCTCCCAATCCAAATGCAGCTGCGACACCAAGTGCGAGCTGCACGTGTACGCCGACAAAATCATGCTGCTGTTGAAGGACTTTCTGGAGAATGCGCAGAGCGCCGACAATTTCATTGCCGTCAGCAACACGCTGGTGCAGTTCTCAGCCAGCTACGGGGAGGCCTTCGAGTGCCACTTCACCGACGTAGTGGACATCGTTATCGGGTGGCAACTGGAGGCTGGCCAGCCCACGCACGTGAAGGCCCACTGTGCCCAGATACTGGAGCATTTGACGCCATACTTTAGCAAGCAGATCGAATTCAGCTACGGTTTGTTGGACCAGTTTGTCGAGGATATTACCACGCTGGAGGAAGACGAACCCACGGCCACCGCGGAGCGTGTAGGTGCCTTTGTCGGTGCCTTCAACACGCTTCTGAAGTGCTTAGCCCGCATGCAGATATTCGTGGGCATGCCCACCTGTGAATGCATCGTCCAGATGGCCCTGGATCATCTAATCAAAATAATGCCCCACCTGGAGTTGCACTCGGATACCGAAGCATTGGTCAATATAAACGAACTGCTCTGCATCTGCCTGTTGAATAACTTCAGCGGCCTTGATCCGACAACCTTGGAGCAACTGCTACTGGAACAGCTCGAACAGATGCTTTCTCTGAATGAGCTCCAGCGGCAGAGTGTCCTTTACCTGTTGCTCTGCACGGTGAGGAGGTTGCGGGCACGTCTGACGCCTAGCCTGGTGCACCTAATATTCCAATCCAATTCCTATTTGACGGAGGTAAGGCGACAAACGCCAGGTGGCAGTTCCTACACGCTGCTACTGCGCACATGCCAGGAGACACTGCTCATCCGGAATGTGCCCCTGCTACAGCAAGCGTATAAATATCTTGTCGACGACATTGACGCCTGTCTGGAACAACTGCTCTTCACTTCACCGGCAACGGAGGAGTCCGAAAGGAAAGCCAGCGAGGCGAGTGTGCTCCTCGTTTTCCATCTGGCCGCTCTGGCTGCCCTTGCTAAGCAAACATCTTCCATAATTGGCATGTACGCATGCAAGCCCTCGATTCTGGAGCTGCTCCTCACCAACTGCAGGGCGCACGAACTTGCGCTCTGGGGCAGGTATCCCGCCGCCCAGCAGGCCATTTTTGATCTGCTCGTTGTCCACTGCCAAGCAAATCACAACTTCCGCACCAACTCCAGCTTGCTTCGTGATCAGGAACTGTCGGCGGAGAACACCTCGCCAACGGCAAACAGTTTCGCTAGCATACTTCGCTTCCTGGATTCGGTTCTGGACCAGGCGCACCAACTGACACCGCAGAACTTGAGGATATTGCTGCAGTGGACACAGATGCTCCTGAGCGAATGCCGCGAGAAGGCTAATCTGCTTATGGAGCAAAAGAACTTCCGAGGAATTTGCCGCAACATCGCGGCCAACGCCTCCAAATGGACACCCTTGGAAAGTGCTGCCTGCATCCAAACTGTCCTAGACTACGGCCCGGAAAGGTTAGCACATCTTCCGGAGCTAGTGATTCTATACCGCGATACGGCGCTACAGCAGCTACAGGTGCTCTCCACGAATTGTCATGCAGCCTATTCCCAAATCTACGCCCAGTTGCCATTGCATCTTACCATCAGCGGCTGTGAATCACCAATGCCGGTAATGACCAGCAGAAGAGTTAGCGTTTGGCAGCAGAGGATGAGCCAATGCAGTGCAGTAGGCGACACCGTGTTCCGAGATTTCTTTGACCGGCTGCACAAACCAGAGCAAGATTCGCTGATCCATTGTATGCGGGAGCTGTTTGTTCGTAGCTGCCAGGTGGCTCCGCAGGATGAGCGGCAGGAGAAGCTGGCGCAATGCACCAAGCGCTGCCAGCGATTGGCTACCGCCTGGCTGCAATTCGAAGCAGCTAGATACTGTGTGGATCAGCGACTCCGCACTACGCTGGGAAAGCCTCAAGAAACGTTCCTCGGATTCGAGGCCATTATCATGCGGCATGCCAGATTGCTGAGTGGCTGTGCCAAGGAGATGGAGCGCTCAGCTCTGGACACCCTGTCGTTGGACGAGCTCCTGACCATGCAGAGCAATCTCAGTCTGCTCCTGGGCTTCCTCGATGCGCTGGAGAAGCTCATCTATAACGCCGCCGAGGGAAGCGCCTTTGCCCTGCGACCCCCGGAAAAGCCAGTGGCTGCCTTCTTTCGTCTGAACAACCCCACTTGTCAGTCCTGGTTTAATCGTATCCGTATTGGTGTGGTCATCATTGCCATGCATGTGCAGCAACCGGAACTGGTTATTCGATATGCGCAGGTGAGTCAGATATGGAGAAGTCCACTTAAGTGGTCAACTGAGTTTGTTTGTCACTTCCTTGCAGCAAATTCTGCTCACCCAAAAGACGCCAGATGCCACCTACAGTCAGGCTATCGTTTACATGGCCTGGGCTTTGGTTAGTTGCCAAGAAGCAGACTCGCTGCGAGGTCTGTGCCTGTGGGCACGTTCGAAGAGCAGCAAATCCTACCAGTGGCTGATGTACGCGGCGGATCAGGCGGCCGGAAAGCGGGAATCGGCACTGGCCGGCTACAAAACTATCATGGCCGAGGAGGAGCATCAGCCCGAACTGGAGCCGCATACTCGACAGTTTGTTCTGGCGCAAATGATGCAGTGCTTGCAGGATCTGGGTCAGTGGTCTCAGCTGGTGGAGCTGAAGCAGCAGCAGCTGACGCGTCCAGAGGACAGAGAACTGAATCCCTTTCTGCAACGCAGCAATGTGGAGGTCAATGCACTGGAACGGCTCTTGGCCAGGGGAGAGGAGTCGTACTCCTCGGTGGACGACTTTGGCGGAGCCTTGCAGCAGTTGAGTCTTTGGCCCACCAACTGGGAAGAGTCTGTGCCCCCAAGTGCCGTAATCGAACGTGCAAGCTTCTCATCCGTCCATGTGCGCCAACGAACCGAGGATATTGTGCTGCACAAGCTATTAGAAGAACGTTGCCTGCCAGATCAGGCGAGAAACCTACTGGACACCCAATGGCGAGACAGCCTGCTGAACCCCAGCATTGATCAGCGATCCTGCAAAGAGCTCACTCTGCTACGACATATAGTGCAGGGTGTCAGTGGCGGCCAGGAGTTGTCCCTGCTGCCCTTGTCCTCGGATAGATGTCAATACCGCTCCAATCAGATTTCCAGCGCCATTTTGATGCGCTGCTTGGCATGGACGCATTTGCTGCGTCAGCATTGTGCACCTGGCAGCTGGGAAACGCTTTGTTTGGACGCAGCAGCAGCGGCGCGGGAGGAAGGCAATCTTCAGCTAGCGGAAACCCTGCTCACACAGTTCTTCGGTCAGCCGCTGGATGAGATAGCCGGCCTGTTTTCACTGGAGCATGGAGTGAAAACGGATAATCCGCAGTTGCTTCGCGGCTACAGTGAGCTGGTCAAGTGCCTATATCTCCAGGAGCAGCAGACGCAGACACAGTGCGGCGATTTAAGTTCTTCGATTGATGTATGCGCCTCCCTATGCCTAAATATTCAGAAGAGCGATTATCAAGCGGCCGAGGGCGCGGATCTCCTGCTTAACCTATCCGATTGGATAGCCGCCCGGACATGCAATGGCTTGGCCACCAATCAATCGCCTGCATTGATTCAACTGCTGGACCAGCTGCCGGAATGTCCGCTGACCTGCGGCTCCAGCCAACCGCTGGCCATTCCCCAGGCCGAAGGTTTTGTTGCCCGCCTGGTTCATTCTACTTTAAAGCAGCGTCCCAACTGCGAGGAAGCACTGATAGCCTACGGCAACTGGTGCTATCGATGGGGCAAGAAAATCGTGGACAGCGGCTGTGTGCTCACCCAGGCGGATGCGACTGTTATCAGCCAGGCGCTGGACATTGCCCAGCCGCTTGAAAACGAACAGTTGGGTGAACTCATCCAGGCACTGAGCATGGAACAGCCGCCAGCGAACTGTGTAGAGGTGTGTCCGGAGGCGGCCCGTGCTCGCGACGATGAGGCGGCCAAGAATTGTCTGCGTCGGCTGACCTTTTTGGCGGATAAATCGCCAGAAGTGCTGGATGCCATTTTGCAGATCTGGCGACGGGCCATAGCCAATACATATGATTACTACAAGGATGCAGCGCGCTCGTACTTCCAATATCTCAGTTTGAAATCGGGCTCGGGTCCGGTCAACCCTGGGGGAGAACGATTCGTATCGCAGCGGGAACGTTTCCATGTGGATGACAGCAATCTGGTGACCACGACGCTGCGTCTCCTTCGCTTGATTGTAAAGCACGCCAGCGGGCTGCAGGATGTTCTGGAGCAAGGACTGAACACCACGCCCATTGCGCCCTGGAAAGTGATCATCCCACAGCTCTTCAGCCGACTGAATCACCACGAACCTTATGTGAGGAAGAGCGTCTGTGATCTGCTGTGTCGTCTGGCCGAGAGCCGCCCCCAGCTGGTTATCTTCCCGGCAGTCGTTGGTGCCAACAGGGAGCAACAGGATGCAGCATCACCGCCAGCTACAGCGGACCCAACCACGGAGGACGCCTGCTGCTATGGCTATCTGTTGGGTGAGCTCTCGAAACAGGCGCCGGGGGCAGTGCAGCATGTGCAGCTGATGGTGAAGGAGCTGCGCCGCGTTTGCCTGCTGTGGGACGAGTATTGGATCCACTCGCTGGCGCACATCTACAATACGTACGTGAGTCGTGTGAGTGCGCTGACAACCGAATTCCGTCCGGACGATCACGAGGGCAAGAATAACCGCTTCAATGTCTGGCGACCGCAATTGCTCGCCGATCTGGAGGCCCTAGCCGCGCTCACCGCTCGTCCGCCGGAGACCACCTATGAGCGAAGTTTCCGCAAGCGTTTCGATGCCCCCATACGTGCCACTGTGGATGCACTGCGCACTCGTCGCTATCCGGAGGCATGGGATAAGCTGAAGCAGCTGTACCACATCCTACAATCGAATATGATCCGAGGCACGGGCAGCACTCTCAAAATGCAGAGTCTGAGCCCGGTGCTCTGTGGCATTGGACGCATGCGCATCTCCATGCCAGGCCTGGATGCCCACGGGCCGGATGAGGAACAGGTGTACATCGAGAGTGTCGAGGGTTCGGTGTGCGTGTTGCCCACCAAGACGAAGCCCAAAAAGGTCGCCTTCTACGGCAGCAATGGCCAGCGCTACACGTTCCTGTTCAAGGGCATGGAGGATCTCCATCTGGATGAGCGCATCATGCAGTTCCTGTCCATCTCGAATGCCATCATGGCCTGCCGCAGTGATGCGCCCGGCAATGGCTGCTATCGTGCCCACCACTATTCGGTTATTCCACTGGGTCCGCAATCCGGGCTGATTAGCTGGGTGGACGGGGTGACGCCACTCTTTGCGCTCTACAAGAAGTGGCAGCAGAGACAGCCCCAGGTCACTGGGAAATTGGGCGCCGGTGCTGGGGCAAATGCCACGCGTCGCTTTACGGACTTGTTCTACAGCAAACTCTCGCCACTGCTGGCCAAGCACAATCTGCAGGTGAGCGATCCACGACGCCAGTGGCCAATCTCCGCCCTTCGCCAGGTGCTCGCCGAATTGTCGCAGGAAACACCCGGAGATCTGCTCGCCCGGGAACTGTGGTGCCAGGCGGGAAACGCCGCCGAGTGGCGGCAATCGGTGCGTTGCTATGCCCGCTGCATGTCGGTCATGTCGATGATTGGCTACGTCATTGGCCTGGGCGATCGTCATCTGGACAACGTGCTCATCAACCTGGGAAGCGGCGATATCGTGCACATCGACTACAATGTGTGCTTCGAGAAGGGCCGCACCCTGCGCATACCCGAGAAGGTGCCATTCCGCCTCACCCGGAATCTGGTGCACGCCCTGGGCATCACGGGAATTGAGGTAAGGCTACTCCTACTCGTCCTATTCCTTTACTTCAGTTTCTTTCGACTTTGGAACCATATGTACAAATCTATCTATCTAAACAAACCGCAGTGGATGGGTTCAAAAACGGCGCTTCTAAAGATAATGTCCACTTTTATTGCTATCATCTCAAGTGAATTCCACCAAATCAAAGCGGTAGATTTCCCGTTCCGTCGATCACTGAGTGGCCTTCGGTTTGATCTCCTGCTGGTAGCCCGCGGAGGAGGATGTGCCCTCCATGCGGTGCTTGCTGTCCGCCGGCAACTGATCCTCGCACTGCCTCGTCGTTCGGCAGCACAGTGTTTGGGCAAAGGCTCGCCGGAAGCCGGAGTTCTTCCACGAGTAAATGATCGGATTGAGAGCAGAGTTGGCAATGGCCAGAGAAAACGTCGTTTTGTAGATCATCGAGCTGCTCCGGCAGATGCTGAATAGCTGGGCAATGGCCACGCAGAAGTACGGTAGCCAACAGAGCGTGAAGCAGCCCATGATGAATACCACAATCTGCACGCTTTTCCAGTCTGGATGGAGCAGCATACTCCGCATGGTGCTGGCCTCGTCCGTGTTGTAGACCACCGACTGCCGCAATCGCAGCGCTTGCTTGGATGCCTCGCGCATGATGCGCCAGTAGACGAGGAACATGCAAATCCAGATGATCCCGAATCCCGGCGTTATCACACCGGCTATGTAACCGGGTGAGAGAACCTCGTCGAATTCGCACGCCTGTGCCTTCGGCCATCGATTCCAGAAAACGGGCAGTAGAGCCACCAAGGCACCCAAGCACCAGTTGGATATGATGATGCTATAGGCCACTCGACGGGTCATGTATCTACGGTTAAGAGGGGTTTCCCATATGTAGCCATTGAATTAGGGTTTCTGGCGTCCTTGACCACTTACCTTCTGTAGTGCAGGGCATAGACCACTGCTATATACCGATCCACCGCAATCGAGATTAGAGTCAGCATGGACACGCAACAGGCGCAGATAAGCAGGAAGAAGCGCAGCAGGCAGGGACCTCTCATGGCGCCAATATCCGAGCCCATGTAGAAGACCAGGTGATAGGGCAAAGCCAATCCCACACAGAAGTCGGAGACGGCCAGCGACAGGATGAACAGATTGGAGATGACCGATCGCAGGTGGCGACAGGTGCGCACCGCCACAATGGTCAGGATATTGCCGCCCAGGATGAGGGCAAACAAGAAAGCATTGATGGCGAGCCACAGAATTTGGCCAACACCGAAACTGGAGAACTGGGTCGTCTGGAGACTCATTTCCGTTGGGGTTTCCGTGGCATTCCGCCGCTGCCACAGGAACGGGACAACACCCAACGCTTCCGGGGAGCTTCGATAGTCCCAAGCGGGCGATGAGCTGCTGGTAAATGCCATGAGCTGCGATGGAAAATGAAGCGCTCGCGACGCCTGTGGCTGGCTATCTGGCAACCGTGGCAGCTGGAGCTGTGCGACTTTTGGCCAGGACTTCGGCTCGGTTCTGTTCGGTTCGGATGCAGATTCATTGGGGCTCGGATCGCAACGTGGGCGTCGTTTGTTTACGTTTCGCTGGTGGCTTTACCACATCGTCACCGCCAGTTAACTGATAGCGCGCCCAGATCCACCGTGAGAACCGCAATCCGTTGATAAGCCCGCCACTTTGACCCAACCATCAACTACCATCCGCCATCCACCATCCACCTACCCGCCAAACGAACCACTCCAACCAGCCAAACCATCCATTGCCCCGAGCGTTTGGAGTGTCCGGACTCCCGGCCCAATGCATGGCCAAACAGATCGCTGGGGGTTTTAGCAGATTAGCCCAGCTCCGCGGACCAAAATAGATTGATAAAAGGCCACGGCCTGCGACTGGGATACGTAGACACGTAAACAGATACATCATTGAACTCCCCAAGTTTCCAGAAGGATCCAATGCATTTCCTCGAAACATTAAAAGCAAAGAAACTTTAGGTCGATGGTGCTATAATTTTCATAATCTAAATCCGATATTACAGATCCCATGGATCAAAACAGAGCAGGGGTTGGTTGAAGTCACATCTGAGGATGGCATGGCCAAATGGCTAAATGGGGTAAATCTGGTGTCTATTATATATATCTAAATGGACAGACATTGTGGCTTATCACGCAAATTGCGGCCCAATCTGCAATTGTAAACAGCGATTAGCGTCGATGGCAGTCGAGGTCGTATATGTAGAACATGGTTATGGTTTCTGTTTCGGTTTTTGTTTCTGGTTCTGGTTCTGGTTGAGTTCTGGTTGGGGATCCCATAAAATCGGCATTGCCAATATTTCGAATCGTATATATTTTGTGCGCCGTCCGACAGATGGAATCGGTTCCGCCGTACATTTATGGACCCCAATGTCCCATTTACGGCAGTGATATATATTAAATGTACATATATATAAAGCAGCGTCATTAACCATTAAACCGATCGTCTTTTGTAGGGCTCCTTCCGCTTGGGCTGTGAATATGTACTGAAGGTGATGCGCAAGGAGCGCGAGACTCTGCTGACCCTGCTGGAGGCCTTCGTGTACGATCCCCTGGTGGATTGGACCATCAACGACGATGCCCAAGCTATGCGCCGTTCCCTGAACGCCAAGCACCAGCAGGCAGCTGAATGCGGAGCAGGAGATCTCAGGTGCCACAAGAAGGACAGGAGTAAGGGAAAGCCACACGATTGGGATGCCAAGCGACAGCACTTCCTAAGCAAACTGGGCATGCTGCTAAAGTACTGGTCCAGCAACAAGTAAGTATATCCATCATAACTTATAACGATATCTATAATTTCCTTTTATTTGTTAGGACGGAGATGGTGCCGCAGCTGGAGGAGATGGAACAGGAGGTGGGCAACCTGCAGGCGGCGCAGGTCAAGCAACTGATGGCCGAGCAGGAGCTTGTGGAGCTGAACCAGCGCAGCGCCCTAATCGCCGAAATCAAATCGCTGGGCACGGCGATCGAGAGTCACAGTTTTAATACGGCATCGCTGCGTCATGCCGTTCGCCGTGGTCACTCGGAGGCGTTGGCAACGCTCAGTAAGGAACGACTGCCGGACTTCGGCCAAGTGCAGTGCCTTCTCAGAACCTATGGGCAGTGCCTGCAGCCTTATCATCTGGCCGAACTGCACGCCCAGCTCGTCCAGCTGCAAATGGAGTCGGACGCGGAGATTGCCAGGGAATTCTCTGCGCTGGCTGAGGCTTTACAGCTAGCCGGACTGGACAGCATGCGCAGCCAGTTGGATGAGCTACTGAGTCGCCTGGATGAGGTGGCCCTGAAGAGTTCCAAGCATCTGCAGCAGTATGCGGCAGTCATGAACTTCTTCCCGGAACAAAGCCACCGACAAAACCTGTTCGTTCGCTTCCACGACAGCTTTGGATCGTACATCCAGCACGGTTACACTGTGGACTCCACCAGCAATACCAATTCGCCGTCTAGTTCTATTATTTGCACGGCGGATGTCGTGGGCGTCGCGGATGCCTTGGAGTTCGCTTGGGAGCGACTAGGCTGCCAATTGAATGAGGTCTCGCAGCGTTATGCCGCCAAGCAGTCGCAGGCTCTATCCCTCGGTGCACCCACTCCTGCTCTGCTGGCCATGATTGGCCAGAGCGGCTGCAGCCTGCTGCTGCTCAAGGCCAGCTTAGTTCGCACCTTGGATCGCGCTGGAGGAGCATTCGCCGCCTACGAACAGGTGGCCCTGGCCAACCAGGACGAGGGTCTGCTGCAACATCAGCTGCACTTTGTCCACCTGGTGCGCTCCATGTCCCAAGGAGTTCTGGCGATGGCCAAGCAGGAGGATCTGCTTCTGGGACAATTGGAGAGCCTACTTTCAGCGCTGTCGCATCTAAAGCAGATCTTTGAGTACGACTTGCCAGCCATCATATATCGGTTGCTCCTGCTGCAGCCCAATCTGGGCCAGCTGAGTGCCTTGTGCCACTTGAGTGCCTCCAGTCTGGCTCAGCTGTATCTGGAAGCCACGCTGGAGAACAACCAGCTGCCGGATCAGTTCCCAGCAGAGCGCAGATTTCTACTAACCCTGCAGCCCGCCTACGAGCAATTCCAGCTGGCCGCCACCGCCTTGGACTCGCTGGTCAGCAGCGTGCAGATGATGCTCGAGGATGTCCACGATGTGCAGACCCAACAGTTAATGGTGAGTGCATAACTAGCTCTGTATTTCTATGGCAGATCTAAGGGAGATTTCCTTTTAGGAACTGGCTCTACTTAGGTCATGTCATACGCAGCTGAATGACGAATGCTTCTTCGGACTGGTCAGCGAGGCATTGGAAGCCAGTCGCACTTGTGATGTCCGTGAAATGGCCCGACCTGTTGTGGGCCTCATCCAACGCCTCCAAGTGGAAAGTCTTTCCGGCTTGCTGCCGATCCTCACGCGCAACTTCTACACCTCCGTTGGTCCGCAATGTCTGCCCACTGCGAACTGTGGGGATCCAGCTCAAGCGGATCACCTGTGCGAGGGTCTCTTCGTTTCGCTGCAATCGGACGGCGCTTTGCAGCAGCAGCAAGCGGAAATTGCACTACTCAATCAGCAATTGGAGCTGCACACACTGGCGGCATCCGCTCAATACTGGGCCTATTCGGAAGCACTAGGCAGCCAGCTGCGCTGTGGCCACCACATCGTCAGTCGGTCGAAACTGGCCGCCTTCATTGGCGAGAGTTGGCTGGAGTTGGACCAGAATCTTGCTGCCCTGCAGCAACTGCAAGCTGGCCTCGAGTCGCAACTCAGCCAGTTGCAGACGCAGCGCAGTAATTGGAATCGTAATCACATAGACAATTTGTTGCGCAGGGAGCAGTGTAACAAGCAGAGGATAATGGCTCATGTGGATCTGGTGCAACAGCTGGCGGATGGAGCCGGTGCTGTGGCCCGTCTGGAGCAGCATGCCGGCGCTCTTGGGGAGGAGGGCCAGGCACTGGTTGACCACTTGGAGCAATGGCTGGCTGCGCATGGACAATGGCAGGCGAGCAGCTCAAGGATCAGCGCCGTGGAGCAGTCGGTGGTGGAACTCTTGGACCCCGAAGGTGCCATCGACTCCTATTGGCTGGAGAATGTACAGGGATTGTTGGAGGAGCAGACCTGCAAGGTGCACCGCGAGATTGCGGCGCTAGAGGGCGAGCAGCAGAGCAAGCATGGTTTCATTTGCACCTTGCTCAAGGAGACTCTGGTACGCGTACAATCATCGTGCAACTGCAACTTTGTTTAATGTGTTTATTTATCACCAAATAACAGCGGCTGCAGGACAATATGCCACGCTTCCATGTGCGGAGCCTGTGCTCCGAGGCCCAGGCACAGGGTCAAGGGAAACTGGTGCCCACGGATGTGCAGCTACTTTGCGGAAACCTGCGCGACTGTCAGCGCCTGCTGCAGTCCCTCTTCCTGCGGTTGCAGGAGCTGCGAAAGGATCTTTGCGCCGAACGTCGCGTTCTGCAGCCTACTGTGCTGCATAGCTGGCGTCACCAGCTGCAGATGATCCTGTCGTTGGCCAACCAGGAGGTGAACGAGTTCTTCAAAAGCATGGACGAATTCTTGCAGCACTCCACCGAAACGGACTCGTACGAAACCTTCACGCATGCGAAAGGTGAGGCAGACCACCAACGAATCTCCAACGGATGCGTTACTAAACTTGCTTAACTTACTTTAGGTTCTAGTAATGTGCATGAGCAGAAGCGAAATGCGTACGGCGTGTCCGTGTGGAAGAAGATAAGGATGAAGCTGGAGGGCCGGGATCCAGATAGCAATCAGCGCAGCACCGTCGCCGAGCAGGTGGACTATACCATTCGCGAAGCCACCAATCCGGACAACCTAGCCGTGCTCTACGAGGGCTGGACGCCGTGGGTATAATTTTTCACACTGTTCGGCCGCAATTTTGGGCTATTGACATCACCAAGCATCACAACTCGGAGCGGGGGGGGCGGGCCACCTCTGGATCGGAATTCAGAACCTCCTCCGGACTGTAAGCAGTTGCAGCCTGACGGCATCTGACTACCCATAGGCCGTGGCGGAACCAATTTGGCCGCCCCCCTCCAACCATGTGTAGTTGCATAAACGATAGGAAACGAATCGACAGACAGACGCGGAGTGCTGTGGTCCGGAAGCTTGCGGATCGTGGCGCATGCCCCGTGCTCTCTCGGATCGCAAACCGCATTCCGAGTGGACATAACGAGTAGCTGGCCAGCAGCAGCAGCAGCTGCAACAGCTCACACGGTTCCCGACGTAAAAGATTTGGGCTCAATGACGTTATCGGAAACGATATATTCCAGGTTTCAGATTCGTAAATTACGTTATCCGGTTCTCCGTTTTATTTTTATTTTTTAACACTGCTGTGCGACTTTTCCTATACGATTCGATTATATACTATATATTAATTTACGCCATACCGGATGTGTTTTAATTATGTGTTAAGCCACTCTTAGTTTTCCCCACTCAAATCCAAAATCGTTAAGTGTAAGCTGATTGAATTTGGTTACCAAATTATCCGTAGCCACATTACAACTATATATACAAGCCTATATAACTGCGATGCCCATTTATAGCCAATGTGGGGGACTGGATATCGACGCGAGGTCGATATCCACGCCTCCCGTTCTCGTTTTAGTTATTTGAATAAACGCAATGCTGAACATAAATGTGCAATGTTGGTTTCCTTTGACGCCAAGTGAGTTAGACATTTGTGGTATATAATCACTCATTTATTTTCTAAAGTTCTTCTCGATTTGCATCCGTTTTACTTGACAATTGTTATCCTAGATCGTTTTATTTGCTCTATTCGGTTTGGTTGGTTATAAAAGTTCAAATGTTTTTGTTTTTTTCTTTTTGTATTTGCTTGCTTTGCCTTCTTGGCTTCGATTAGTTACCAATTTTGACATCGGGATACAAAAAATGATTTCTCAAATATAACCAATATGGAAATTTGCATTCAAATGTTACGATTACGTTTACGATTATCGCTTTTATTTGCACGTTTACGCTTGGATTGGAATCAGTTGTATTCTCAATCGCCCAATGCAACGCTATAGTTATACAGTTACAATTCATATATATATATCTATATATGCATGGTGTATGGGGTGTATATCTGTACAGTACATTAAAGTATATCATTTACAAAATAGTTCTTACGTGCTGCCGCCGTCGCTGCAGTTGCGCCGGTTGCTAAGGAAACTTTGGCGGATCATCGATGCGATCCGGATATATCGATGAGCAAGGATAGTAAACATAATGGATAGTAATTTACATACAGTAATCCGTAATCAGTAATGATAATAAACGCACAGCTTCACGAGACTGAAGCTGATTGTAAACGGTGCAGCGGTTGCATTCAATCCAACCTTCATACATATATTGCTTTCAGTTTTCCTTAGCCGCTGCATCGTTTACAACCAGTTTGCAATGTCTGCCGATACCGAATATATGCATATATATATATGGCCAATTTGAAGCTTTCGACAGTTAAAAAAAATACAAACGGATTTGTCCTCAGCTTTCGTTTGACCAGAACATCACATTGACAAATTACAAATAGTGGCGAATATTTCAAATATTTCTCATTCCATTTCTGTCAATTAAAAAAAATGTTTCATTTGTTTAAACAAAAACACAAACAAAATGTTGATAACAAACATGGATATAAAAAGTTACAATAATTTAAATATAACTAGCCATAACTAATGGATAAACACAAAGAGAATCGATTGCGAATTGTTGAACAAATCTGAAAATACACCGAAAATATGGGATCCATTGTTTTCTATCTTCCTTACATTTCATTCTTATTTCAAGATTAACCTTTTTGTTTTTTTGTTTCACATTGTTTTGTTTTGTTTTTTTTTGGTTGCTTTGCTTTTCGTTTTCGTTTGTCTTCTAATTTAACATAGTTATTAATAGTATTTGTTATTGTTATTTTCTTGTGTGTGTTCTCCTTACGCTTGTGTTTATCCTATTTTAGTCCTGTTTAAAATAATAAATACATACATATACATTACAATTACAATTACATCATTATCCATAGTACAAAATATAAAATTTAACATCACATTGGTTGACATTCTTTTGTTGGTTGGTTGGTTGCTTCGCTTTACACTCCTCATCTCCCGTCATCTAAATCTTCTGGTTGTTGCATCTTCTTGTAGTTTTTGTGGGTTGGTTGATTTCGTTACTTACATAATTCACTTGTCATTAGCATTACGTTTATTATTATTATTATTATACTGCCAGTTTAGCATTGTAAATTAATTTGTTTCAATTGATTTGTGTGTGTTTGGGTTCCACTAGCGGTCGATCGGTCTTTCGGTCGGTAGGTCAAATGATCGATGCCTCGATCCCACTCTCAAGATCAGCATTTTGTGGCATAGCCTCTCCTATGTACCATCCTTTATCCCATATGCTCCACTTCTCCGCTTCCTGTTTTCAAGCTCCAGCTGGTCGTGTTGTTGAATGGCTGCAAGTTAGTATACATGTTATGAAATGGTAAAATACTTGGCCAACTCACTATGATATGATATAACATATCTTCTTTCAGGTAAGTGACTGATGTGCTGCCCAACTTACGTGCAAAGTGTTTGGTCACTGGGCCTGGGATCTACGTCCCAACCCAGAGATTTGACCCATCCTCGCACTGCGTCCAGCTGGCCAGTTCCAGTTCCTGCTCCATAACCCCTCCTCCTCGCTTGCATAACGCACCACACAAACAACTCGGCGAGACCTGCAGCAACACCAAATGGATGCGTGAGTCCACGAATAACAACTGCACAAGCTGCACCAGCTGGCGAAGATCCCCTCCTCCAACGTATGTTGCCAATTACGGGTGCTTACCTGGCGAGGATTACTAATCTCCAGGATGCTCGGGGCAGGAGCGATTCACCTCAAACCAACGGTCGATGCATCTGCGGAAAAAAGAATGAAAGAAAAGGCAAACAAATTGTAATTAGCGCACTGTCGGCGTTTCGGGGAAAAGTGCCCATTATGTGAGCATACTTATTTTTAAATTTATGGCCCAAAGGGGTGGGATAGGTGAAAATTCAAACTCAGACACTCCTCAATTTCTCGTTATTGACTCTTTGTTCTATCGTTTTTTGTTCGCTTTGCGGTTTGCTAGTTCACTTTCCTCTTTAAGGGCAAATTTCTCAACTACTTACTGATAAGATTATAATTCCCTACTGTGCGGCTTAACAACTAACAACCGTCTGTAATAAACTCACTAAACTAGCTGGAGAATAAAATCAACCGTTTATTCAATAAAATATTAACATTGTCGTTCAAGAACGCAGTTCTATTTCAGTCTACTTCTTCAACTTCATCAACAAAGTAACTCCTAAAATCCCCTCCTTCACATTTTCCTGAAAGAAATCGGTATTTCTGCCATGGCAATGCAAAACATGATCCAAATGTGGAATGTTACACCTCGCCGAGCTCGTAATTCTATTTCCGATGGAATGGCATTCCAAGCTTGACATTATCATTTTTTAAATGTCCTACAAAATGTCGTATTCATTTGTCGCAAGACAAACTATAAAATTAATTCTTAATTTCTGGGATGTTATGCCTCGTTCAATTCGTAGTTTAATCTACCATCGATTGGCTTTCTAGAATACGTATTTTGAAATTTCCAACTAGAGAACCAAAAGTAGAGCCCTCAAACTTCAGCTTTTTGAAAGTAACCCACTGCTATAGATTTAGTTTGGGATTTCGAAAGCACAGTGAGCTCACCCTTTGTGATATATGCAGAGGCATGGCAGCCGGGCGATGGTGTCCCCCGGACTCAGGTCCTCCAGGCAGATGACGCACTCGCCCTTGGCGTCCGAGAGAACGTCCTCTGGAATGTGGGATAAACATAAACATTGGTATTCTGCGAATATCGGCGGGGATTGGGATTATGTAAACAGCATACCGTTATATGACAGTCGTGGTTTCGTTAGGCACATGACTAAATGGCATTCGATGTCGTCCGGCAACACAAACTTATTGCACACGGGGCACTTGATACCTGCAATGATTCAGGGTAATCAGAGATCACGGGGTACGCGGAGGTACGCGGTGGTACGGATGGTGCGGCTGGCGCGGATGCTCACCATTGAAGGACCAAATGTGCGATGGAAGCGAGGTGGCCGTGTAGACACGACCGATCCCATTGGCGGACGTGGCGGATGCGGCCAGGGCGATGCTCTCGGCGATGTTGCCGCCGGTCATTGACATGTCCTGGAACAGAGGATGGCGGGAATATGGGGTTAGGACTGGTACCATGGGGCGCATACGTAATCCCTACTGCTGGCTATAGAGATTCATTTGCATCACTTGACTATTCATAGATCAAACTTATCCAAATTAGTTTTTAAGTACTCTAAACCAGTTAAAACAATATGTATCTATTGCACATTACAGCTACTTGCAGTCTAAAATTTTAGATACTATTTTAGGAATCTTTGAAGCCATCTGAAAATGATGGAATACAAATGTGCAAATATTTGAGGTATAAATCCAATATAAAGTGATAAATATACATACAATGCGATTAGATTCTTGGTATTCGGCTTATTTACCCAAGTATTAAGTACTTATTAATGGAATTACCCTTGGTGAATCCAAAAATAGATATCGAACAAATTGGACAATGGGTTCCATTAAACAAACATACACATATAAATCAAGGAGTTAATCGTCTAAACCTCGGAATATCGATATGCCGATGGGTACCTGTGGTCATAGTTATCCGAACTGGCCCTGTTCCCGTTGTAATCCCCTCCAGGATGCTCTCGCCATGACTCACCCTTATGGAATCGCCGAGGGTGCGCCTTTGCTGCATGTAGGACTGTGTGGCGGATCCATTGTTGTTCCCGGCGGCCGCGAAGCTGCTGTTGCTATTGGCATTCGCATTCGCATTCCCGGACACGGATACGGAGACACCGACGGCCGGGTGTCCGTGCGCCGCATGTGGATGCGAGTGCGGACTGCTGCCGGACGAGGTGATCGATCCCTGCTGCTGCTGCTGCTGCGCCTGTTGCTGAATATCCGGCACCGAGCTCAGGCTCCGTGCCCGCTGTCGGTCGATGGACGTGGAGTTTTGGTTGTGGTAAACCTGCAGGCCGGGCAAAGTGCGCAGCAGATTGAAACCCTGACCGGCGGAGTCATTGCCGCCGCCACCGCCGCCGACGCCGCCGCCGCCACGGTTCTGGCCGGCATTTGAATGCTGGTGCTGCTGCTGCAGCGCAGAATCGGCGGCTCCTGTCGAACTGCTCGAGAATGTCCTGGAGCGTGGGCTCTGTTGGCCACTGGTCGCCGGAGTGCTCGCCTTTTGACCCATAGATGCTGGTGGATTTAACTCGCCGTCGAACCTTTGTCCACCCGCGTCAGCTGCTGCTGCTCCAGCTCCTGCTCCACCAG